GTTCTAGAAAAGTTTTATTTATCACCCACAGGATTTCCATATTACTTCTTGAGTGGGCAGATAAAATGCTCTTCCTTGGGTATTCTATCTCAGCCACAGAGGTAGTGGTTGCTCTGTGTATCTGTTCTTCCTATATTTTTTAGAATTCTCTTAACTTTTCATTAACCAAACCCTCTTTACTGATTGTTTATACTAAATATTCGCTGTTCATATCACTGTGTTTTCTCTCGTTTCTGATTGGACTCAGACAGATTCACCATTGCTAGACCTGACCTGGCCAATATGGCGCTGTTCAGTGTAAGAGTACTTCAAGCACCTGAGGAACTGTTTTACTTAAAATTTTATTTGTAAGCCCGGCACCAATGAGCTTGGTGTCCTTGGGAGGCTGAGATCAGGAGGATCTCAGTTCAAGGCCAGCATGGGAAGAGAGTTCTCAAAATCCCATGTCCAAAATAACCAGAGGAAAATGGGCTGGAGGTTTGGCTCAAGTGGTGAGCACCTGCTTTGCATCTGCAAAGCCCTGAGTTCAAAACCCCAGTCCCACCAAAAAAATTTTTTTAATTGTAACAAACACATAAAATTTACAATTTTAACCTTAAGTCTACAGTTCAGTACTATTAAGTATATCCATATTGTTGTACCACAGATCTATAGAGCTTTTCATCTTTCAAAATGGAAAATCCACACCCATTAAAAACCTCTCCATTTTCCTCTACTATTTTATTTTTGTTAGAAAAACTAGAGCAGTATTTTTTTTGCATGCAAATGTCTCATCAATATTTTACTTTTAATTACATGTTGAAATATTTTGGATAGAAAAAGTTAGATAAGATACATTATAAAAAATTATTTCCTACACACACCTAAGCAGACAGGAAGCCAGGATTCAATGTCATTTTTTATTATAAATTACCAAGCAAATAGTAGGCACCCTCTAGGTGCTGAATTCCTTCTTACAGTTGGATCTCTTGTTAGGTACTGGGGACCTTAGTAGGTAGAGTATGTTCCTTGACCTCTGGCAGAAATGCAGGGAATCAGAGCCCTCAGATATGAATTGATAAGTGCTAGAGGCTTAAACATAGAATAAGTTTTGAAGGTTTACTTCTTCCCTAAAAGTATACTTCACTAATAATTTTATATTAATCACATATTAAAATGATAATATTTTAGATACACTAGGTTAAAATATTATAGCCAAAAAATTATTTTTATTTTTATTTTTATTTTTTTAATATGGCTACTAGAGAATTTTCAGTTATGTATGTGGCTTGAATTCAACTTTTATAGGACAGCCCTTCTCTACACCAACTTTCTATATATTCTTTACTCATTTTTTTTTTAGTGTTATTAGAGTTTGAACTAAGGGTCTCTCATATTTGCTAAACAGGCACTCTACCACTTGAACTACTCCACCAGTCCTGTTTTGTGTTGAGTATTTTCGAGGTAGGGTCCCCTGAACTATTTGCCTGGGCTGGCCTTCAAATCATGATCCTCCTGATCTCTGCTTCCTGAGTAGCCAGGATTACAGGTGTGAGCCACCAGTGCCCGACTTTACTGATTTTCTTGAATGGTTATGACAGTTATGAACAGTCCTTTGAACTTCCACAGCTCTCCAAATCTCTCTGGATATTTGTGGAGGACTTCTGCGAGCTTCTTGCCTGCCTGATCCTATTTCCTCCTATGCATCTCTGCCTCCTTATTGGGGACTGTCCCATGGGGTGGAACCTTGATGACAATTAATGGCCGCTTTCTACTACAGAAACTACAGGTTTCTGTGTTACCCTGGGTTATGGCTATACACCTCAGATTCCTCTCCCGGAACCTCCATTTTGTATTATGAGCAAGTGTTGCAAAAGACATTGGGTAAGTTGGAGGTCCTGTTCCTTAAAGCTGAAGCAAAGTGAGGCACAGGCGCTGTACTCATTTTGCCCACCTACTCACTTTTGCAGATGAGTTTAGCTTTGCAATGGCCAGGTTCCCCTCATTGACTGGAAATTAGTATTGATTCTGCTGGATTCTGACAACTGTCCAATCAATTTCCCTTTTCCTTAGGAGTCTGTTTGCAACCAAGAACCCTGAGAAGAATTGCACCTATGTTGCTCTTCTATGTACTGTACTTTAGCAAATCTAAGCTTTAGAATTCAAGCAAAACCTGAAGAACCAGGCTTTGTTTTGGATACACAGGAAGCAGACCCACAGATCTGTGGACCAAGACAGATAGGCGCTGTCACTCAGATGGGAGCACAGCTATCCTCTTCTGTGGTGTCCCTGTATTCATCTTAGGAACAGAGTGTAATTGACCAGCTGAAGTTTTATGGCCTGTGGTAGGCAGAAAAATGCCAGGACCCCCCACCCAAGATATCCATGTCTTAAATCTCCTAATGTATGGATGTTATCTTACATGGTAAAAGGGACTTTGCAACTATGATTACATTGAGAATCTCAAGTTTATTCTAGGTTATTTGGGTAGGTCCAATGTAATCACAAGGGTCCTTGAAAGTGGCCACCCTTTCCATCTTGATTAAAGAGAGGAGACTATGGAAGCAGGATTAGAAAGATGATACACTGCTGGAAAGAGGGAATGTGAGCAGCCTCCTGAAGCTGGGAAGGGCAAGGAAGAAGAGCCTAGAAAGAGAAACAGCCCCGAAGATACCTTGATTTTAACCTAGTGAGACTTCTAATCTTCAGAACTGTAAATAAATAAATAAATTTGTGTTAAGATATTATGTTTATAATAATATAAACAAACAGAAACCAACACAAGGTCTACCCTTTGACCTAGGGAGGACATTGCTTTGATTGACAGTTCTACCAAGGCTGTAGCCTTGGGGAATAGGGAGGAGGATCCTGTATGAAAATCAGATGCCATTAGCAAATGAGGAAAAGGATGCTGAACAGGCAAAATATGAGTGCCTCCTGCAACCAACTACAAGTGAATTTTTGGGGTCAGCAATTGATTAGCGTAAATATTTTGGGTGAGAAGATTTGAGGAAGTAGAAGAGAGTTTTAAAGGGAATATAAATCCAATGCTTACAAACCTATGTGTGTGTATACATAAACATACAAACATGTATATACACACACATATATACATACACACATATAAATGCATTTTAAAAATTCCAAATTTTGTCAAAAAGAGTCTAATGAAACTTGAGGAATGACTCTCCCTCAGAAAAGATGAAATTAGTTTAGCCTTAGTACCTAGAAAACATATGGACCTGTTCCATAATGTGTTTAAGAATCCCTGATTCATTCAGACTTCTCAGTTGCTGATAAATGAGAACTACTAATAGAGACTTACTTAGAAGCAAATGAGATGGAAGTTAAGCAAATGAGATAGAAGTTATGCAAATGAGATGGAGGTAATGGTCCACTAATCTAAAAATACAACACATGATAAGAGACTTATAAGGGCAATAAAGGGAATTTGCCATATTTGTCCAAAAATCCTGATGGTGATCACATAAGGTCACTATAAAAAAAGGGCAAAGTGATGCAAAGCCATGGCTATGTCCAACAGTCTCAGTTTCTGAATGTGTATTCTGAGGAGGAAATAGTTTAACAGTTAAAGGTAGTGAAAATATCACTTTGGAATGCAGGAGAACATTACTCCATAGGAGTCATGTTTGTCAAGCTCATTTTATTTCCTTTCACTTTTCTTTCATTCTTTTTTTGGACACAGGATCTTGCCATGTAGCCTTGGCTGGCCTGGAACTTGCCATTCTCCTGCTTCATCCTTAGGAGTGAGACAAGAAGCCCAGCCCTTTTTCTTACTGTGTTGTCAGTTCTTAATTCAGGTAACAGGTTTTGGCTCAAAAATACTTTCCCTGCAGGTAGGGCAACTCTTGTGTTGCGGCACATGAGTGGCAGTAAGGTATCTTGGTCACCTTTGTCAAGGTCAATCTCCCTTCTGGTTAAAAATGATTTCAGCTGTGTGCATTCCTTTTAAAAGAAATTTGTGTGTTCACTCATTTTGGGTGTTGGGATTGGGAAAGGTACAGAGGAAGGCACATCCTTTCCCAGATAGGAGGGTTAGGAAGGCTTGAAAAGAGATGATTCTACAATTGTTCTTAATCCTTGCCAAGTATTAAAATTTTCTGGGACGCTTTGAAACAAACAACAACAACAACAACAACAACAACAAAAACACCCAATATTCGATTTCAGGACTCTGAAAGTGGGAGCCTGGCTCTAATAACTCCTCCCCAAAAAACTGGCCAGTGTTGCCAGAGTTAAGAATGATTGATTGCTTCAGCATTTTCCAGCAGGGTTACCCAGAGGTCACTGGTGTTGTGGCATCCTCTCAGGGAGGTCCGGTCACAGTACTTCTCAAGCATCAGTGCACTTCAGTCACCCGGGGCGCTGTTTAAAACCCAGTCGCCCAAGTTTCACCCTTGGAATCCTAGCTCACCTGGCGGGCGCCTGGGACCCACTCGATCTGTTGCAAGTTCTCTGACTTGCAGGCTGGGACCGTGAGGCGGGGGGAGCAGTGGCCAATTGGGAATGTTTAGGGGAAGAAAAAGGAAATTGAGGCATAAAGACCTCCTAAGGTTGGCTTTTCTTTGGACCCCGACTCTGGGTAGCTTTGACAGGGACCACAGAGGAGACCTGAGTGTGGCAGGTGTGTGGCGCTGGGAGCGGTTGGTTTTACGTTCCGGAACGTTTCCTGGGGCTGAGCTGGGCGCGTATCCCCATGTACCTTTTGTTTTCTGCTCCCTGGTGACCCGGCTGCCGGGAGGGGGCGTGACGCTGGTTTTTCGGCTCCCGCGGGGGCCGGCAGCGGGCGGGGCGCGCGCACCGCGGGGCCTGGCACCCGCGCGCGGCCCCGGCGCCCTAGCCTCGCCTCCTCGCGTTCGCGGCGACGCCGGGGGCGGGGACTCGCGCTGCGGAGGCCGAGGACGCGGCAGCGCTGGAGGCGGAGGCGCGGCGAGGAGCGGGTCCAAGCGGGAGGTGGGTGGCGGCGGTGGCGGCGGCGGCGGCGGCGGCGGCGCCGCGATCTGGGCGGCTTCGGAGTCCGGCTGCGAGGCGCGGAGCGGCCGCCCTATCCGAGGAAGGGGGTGAGTGGGCGGCGCGCGTGCCTGGCCACCCGAGCCGCGGTCCCTTCCTTCCTCCTCAGCCCCGCGCGGTCCCCTAGCCTCCCCGCGCCGGGCGCCGCTCTACCGCGTTCCGTCTGCTGCGCTCCCGAGTGGCCTCGCGCCTTCCCGCGCCCCAGCAGTAGGCGGCCGCCCGGACCTGGAGCGTACTCTCGACTCCGTGGAGAGGGGCAGTGGAAGGCTCCTTGTAGAGGCTAGTTTGGGGCCATCCAGGGGTCCTTCTTTTTGTTCTGAGTGTTGTCACGCGCGTCGCCCCAAAGTCATAGCAGTTCCAGGTGTGCGGCGAGACTTGTCCGAGGGGCGGAGGCCCCGCGCTGGGACCTCCCAGTCTCTCTCTTCCACCCCGCCGCGGCGCCCACGTTGCAGCTCTCGAGCCCCGTAGGGGACCCTGGTCACCCCCTAGCTCGTCCGGAGCGCAGCTGGAGCCGCCCTCAGGGACTCTGCGGGGGCCCCCGTGTCCCTGTGTGTCCCACTCGCCAGTGTGGAGCAGCCACTTTTGTTCTGCTGTGAAAACAGTCGCTAGGGTCTTTATACTCTTATTTCACTCCCTATTAAATAGTATAAATGAAGTCTTAAAGCAAAATTGAAAAAAAATTACCAATTTTGATGAATGCCCTTTTTACTGGAATTAAAAAGTCATTGCACTCGTAATTCCACGACGTTCTATCCATTTTCAGATGTCTCATCTCCAAGTCTGCAAAACCAAACTTGTGCTACTTTTCACGGTTTGAGGTTGCCTTTGTCTGATTCGGAGTCTCCAGGCCCTACAATTGTGCAGATATCGAGACGTTTAGGGGCGATTTATTAAAATGTACAGCAGGTCGATCGACATTCACTAGCGCCGGAATGACTTTTAGCATCGGATTGGCTTAAATTTAGACAGTTTTACTATTTCTGACTTTCGGAGGACACGAGACCTGGGAAGATGTACAACCCTTTTGGGGCCTTCCTTGTATATCTCTGAAGTCATTCTAGCTCTTTCTACTTGTTACAAAAAACTTAGTTAAGCTCTTGCTGTTACTTTCTTTGTAAATAGAATCAGAACTTGCTAAGACTTACACTGTTATTACGCCACCTTTTAGGATGTTTTTAAAAACGAGGTTAGCTTTTAAAACATATTTTGTACTGTGGAGCGGTTATCTCATTTTTCTTATTTGAAAAATTGGTTTTTCACAAAAATGAAAGAAATGAGAGGAAAGGAGAGCTGGGGTTGGGGCGTCAATTTGCCATGACCTTGCTATTAGGAGGTAAGATGCCATCTGCTTTCTAGTTGTTGGCTGCAGGTCTAGTTATTGATGGGGACTGACAGCTTTGCTTTTTTCTCCCCCCAGGAGTAGGGCAAAACCCACTCAAGCTCAGGGCACTCTGCAATAGTCCTGTGTTTAAGGCCACCTTCCCCATCAGGGAGGAGCTGCTGATCCTGTCCTGTGAAAGCGCTGGCTGCTTTCAGCTTCAGAAGTCCCAAAGGAAGTACTGGGGAGGTGTCTGTGTGGACCTGTGGGAAGGGTAGAGAATCACTGAGGAGTTTCCTTAGGAAAAGGAGTTTGAAGACAGCCTGGCCTCTGAAGAGGAGCCCTGATTCTCAAAGTTCTGGGGTGACAAGGCAAGGGGAGGAAGTCTAAAAGTTCTGGATCTTTGGCTTTAGTTCAGTTGTATTATTGTTACACTGTTTTTTTCTTGAGAAAATAAGTTGTCTTAGAAAAGATTCATTTCTTTTGTTTAAGATCTAACATCCCCACAGAAGGCTCATGTCTGTAATCCTAGCTACCCAGGAGGCAGAGATAAGGAGGATCACAGATTGAAGGTATCCTGGGCAAAGAGTTCACCAGACCCTATCTTGAAAAAGCACTTGCAAAAAAAGGGCTGGTAGAGTGGCTTAAGGTGTAGGTTCCGAGTTCAAACCCCAGTACTGCCAAAATAAGAAAGAAAGAACATCTGTAATTTTTAAAAAGCACTTCTATTGTTTGGGAAGAAAACTTTAAAAAATTTTTATAAACATTGCAAAAAGTAAAAGGAATGGATCTTAATATACTTTTGCTTTACAAAAGTGAGAGTAGTATTTCACTGTCCCCCTAACCCAAGTGTTCTTAAAAGATCTTGGTCATTTTGTTTTCCAGACTTCATAAATTATTGATGAAATTAGGCTAAAAGAAAGACTTGGTTGAAAGTTAAGAAGTGTTTCCCAAAAAGAGAGCCTTTCTTTGGCTTCACACGGACATTTTCCACACTTTCTCAGATTTTTACATCTCCTATCTTATTCTTCTTTAAAACCCTGACAGAAGTTGGGCACTGGTGGCTAATGCCTGTAATCCTAACTACTTGGGAAGTTGAGATCTGAGGGATTGCGGTTTGAGGCCAACTGCCATCTCCAAAATAACCGGAGCAAAATGGACAGGACGTGTGGTTCAAGCAGTAGAGTACCTCCTTTGTAAGTTCGAATCCCTGAGTTCAAACCCCAGTCCCACCAAACCAGACCAAACCAAACAAAAAAACCTTTGCCAGCTATACATCTGACAAGGGATTAATAACCAGAATTTACAAGATGCTCTAAAAACTAAACTCCTGAAGAATCAGTGACCCAGTTTACAAATGGGCAAATGAACTGAACAGAGCTTTTACAAAGCAAGAAGTTCAAATGGCCAGAAAACACATGAAGAAATACTCAGCGTCCCTGTCCATAAAGGAAATGCAAATCAAAATGACATTAAGATTTCACCTCAATCCTGTTAGGATGGCTATCATCAAGAACACAAATAACAAATGCTGGTTAGGGTTTGATGAAAAAGGAACCCTCATAGACTGCTGATGATAATGTAAATTAGTACAACCACTATGAAACACAGTATGGAGGTTCCTCAAAAACCTAAAAATAGAACTGTCATATTATCCAGCAATACCACTCCTAGGAATATATCCATAGCAGTGTAAGTCAGGATGCAATAAAAACACTTGAACACTCATTTTATTGCAGCATTATTCACAATGGTGAAGCTATGGAAACAGCCAAGATGTCCCCAGGTGATGAATGGATTAAGAAAATGTGCTGTGTGTGTTTGTGTGTGTGTGTGTGTGTGTGTGTGTGTGTGTGTATGTGTTAAAGGATTTCCTTCAGCCATAAAGAAGAATGTAATATTCCTATTGCAAGCAACAGAAACCCAAGAATGACTCTTTCATACTGAGTTTCTATACATATTTATTTATAGATTTGAATGTGTCTGACAACCCAAATTTATTCAGGTTCACACTGAAAATGTTTCAGTTTTAATTATAAAGGTGATTAGCTCTTATTGGATGGATTAATGACTTCTATAAAACATGTTAATCTTGCCAGTGTTTTAACATTTTATTGTAAAAAATGAAGCTGTACAACATATTACATCAAATCAAGGGAACCAACATAGAACAGTCATCTTTGGATTATAAAATTTTAAATGCAAGTGATCATGAGTGATTAATGATACTGACTCGTGGTGGTTTTAAAATTCTATTCTATTCTATTGGAGCTCTGTTCAGTTGTGTCTGGAAATGAAATCTTCCCCTTTCAACAGTATCTCAGGTTTATCAGGATTATAGATTGGTTTTCCAATTGACTACTTTTATTAAGCAAATGTCTTTTCATAATTTTAAAATATTGACTATTAATCTGATTTTTAATAATATGGATATTAGTTCATCAGAATCATTAACAGGTATTTGTGGAATGAATGAATGGATGGATGAAACATAGGGAACTTCTGGTGGGGGCTTCATCTCATAAAGTAAAAACAAAACAAACAAAAAAACCTGATATTCATAGGATTCCCCTCACTAAGATTTTGAAGATTAATTAGTGCCTAGCCAAAAATACATATATAAATACTTTATGATTTAGTGATTTTTGCTGTAATTTGCTGTGTTTTCCAAACCTTTTGGTCATTCTCTTTAGTTTAAAAAAAATGTTAGTATTTCTCTGTATGTGTGTTTGTTACTTATTTATAAATTATATACTTGTACTAATTATGGTTATATTGTATCTGCAGGCCCAATTTACACATAGGACTAGATTCACTGTTAATGGTAGTAGAGGTAAAACTGCACTTTAAATATGCTTTCTCTTAATTATGAGTATTTTTGTAGGTCGGATTATGTCATCATAGTTGTACTTTGTGCTGTGCTGTGACTCTTGCAGAGCTGATGCAGTAGGAAGCATGTGCTTTGCCAGTGGTTGTCTTGTGTTGCCTTTATAAGTATAACTTTAATTTGGTGCTTTTTATAGGAATCCTTTTTTTTCTGGGGTACTGGGGTGTGAACTCAGGCCTACACCTTGAGCTACTCCACCAGTCCTTTTTTTGTGTGGCTTTTTTTTTGAGATAAGGTCTCCCAAATTATTTTTCTGGGCTGGATTTGAACTGTGATCCTCCTGAGCTATGCCTCCTCAGTAGCTAGGATTACAGGTGTGAGCCACTGGCACCCAGCTTTACTGGAATCTTAAAAGTTCCCTATTCTTTGTAAGGTAAGCATTGTTATAATCCATCTGTGTACCGCTCTGAGCATGTGCCAGCCAGATAGTTGCCTTGTGCTGAAGGTGTCCTACCTCCTGCCCCCATCTCCAAGGTTAATGATCTGTCACTGGGAACTTTTGAGAGGGACATAGGACGATACAGCATCAGCTTCCACTTGTATTAGTACCATCAGCATGTTATGATAGTATGATATAACTAGTAGAAATAATAGAATATGAAGTGCTTCATTTATGTTATATATAAGTATTTTATGTTATATTAGTGAAATGCAGTTACTTTCCTCTTTTTTTGGGATAAGCATAAATGCAACTTCCAGGTTTTCTTTTCCCAGCCCAGTGGAACATCTTCTACACCCTCTGTGATGCATGTGCCCTGTGGTAGACAGCTGGTCTCTTACTTCAGACCCAAATAATTCTTTCATCTGATCTCCAGATCCTACAAGGGCAAGACTAGAAAAGATCA